ACTGCACATGGTACAGCACTGGGATGTTTAGCTGTACCCTGAAATACTCCATTCTCTCTCTCCCCGTCTACATCCAGGCTGCACGGACCACCATGGTACTGTCTTGTATCCTATCAGCATTTGGGATCTGCATCACTACAGTTGGAATGAAATGCACCAAGTTGGGAGGGGACAGTGACAGCAAAAGTCACGCTTGTTTCGCTGGAGGAATCTGCTTCGTTCTTGCAGGAATCTGTGGATTAGTACCAACATCCTGGTACACAAGAGAAATTATTTCAAATTTTCTGGACCAGACCATTCCAGAGAGCAGTAAACATGAACCAGGAGCAGCAGTTTATACAGGATTCATTTCAGCAGGCTTTCTGCTTATCGCAGGTGTGATTTTCTGCACTTCCTGTTTTAACAAGCAGCAAGGAGGATGGATTTACCCTCCAAGGCAGCATCATTTTCCATCCGCAGAACAGGAGAGCAATGCAGGTTACAACCTGAAGGACTATGTGTAAAATAGTTATTTCTATCCATTCAAGGTTTTTTTTGTGTGCTAAGTGTAGTATGATTATTTCAAAGAACATATAACCGAGAACTTAACTTTTCCTACATCTGGGTTGCAGTAATGTTCATGCAAGGTATTTAATTCACAGGGGCAACCACAAAAAGGAAAGAAGTAGAAAATGATATTTGTCTGCTACAAAAGTACTTTATTTTGCTGATTTTTCAAACCATGCTTTTTGACTTTCCACATAGCGTTTACTGAAGAAAAAGGAACTATTTTCAAACATAACTGACTGTACAATTAAGGTACTGAAGTCTTGTTATAGGAAAGATGATTAAAAACTAACTGCTTTCTATTTGGAGAATCAAGCTTTCAATAATGTAACATTTTATGGTGTATTTTACACTTTCATCTCTGTCTTCACTATGATGCAAGGAAAAGAAGCCCAAACATTATTTGTCCAAGTGATGCCCAAAAGCCAAATTCAACAGTTTTTAAAAAGCAGACACATCTGCCTTTCATTTTCAATTGTAAATTGCCTTGGTAACCAGATTTCATAACAAAAAAAAAAACAAAAAAACCACACACCACACAAAAAAAAAAAAAAAAAAAAAAAAAAAAAAAAAAAAAAAAAAAAAAAAAAAAAAAAAAAAAGCAACAAAAAAACCCTCACAACGAAAGTTCATGGCTCCAAACCTTAGCTGCACTGTATACTCTGCATATCAGGCTGAAGAATCAGCAGTACCATTCAGATCTTGCCAAACACAGCTCTCACACCCCGAACTGCCACCTGCTGTGGGTTTCATTGATCATTGTTAAAGAAATGTCAGCTGGACAATCACCAATTGCTACTAATCTATCACTGCACAATGAATGTTAGATATGAGGAGCAATAAAACAACAGAAACATAACCATACCTCTGAAAACAGCTGCAAACTGTAACAAACAGCATGTAAACCAAACTATATGCAAGAAAAATCTGTAAGCGTTCTGGCTTACACTTGCTGAAAGCAGCTATTATCAGCTTAAATAACACTACCAATCATTGTCTTCTACAGTTCTGACCTTCTAAAAAAACTTAGTAATTCCTTTTAATCATTCCTGTAGGGTCTGTTTCAGGCCCACTCCTGCAAAATATAGCAGACAACAATGATAAAGAGACAGTTCCTTTATTTATTTTCTTAAGTCTCTTATTTTGAATAATTACCTTAAATCCTTTAATCTTTTCTTTCACCACCCAGATTTTGTTTTGTAATGGTCACTGCCAATATGTTTTATCTAAATACTTCCCTAAACGACAACAATATTGATGAATAAAAAGGGGTACAATTCAGGCCTTTAAATTTAGGAATATGATAAGGTTGGATAAGTCTTTCAATAAAACCAGCTGGTATTTATTCTGCATATTTATATACAACTTTCATTTCTCATGTTACTAGCCCAAATCTGCTAAAACAGTATGAAGGAACCTAAACATTATATGTTTATTATGTTGGAAGAAGTAAGATCTTCTGCTGTAGCATTTGGGAAAGTTGACTGTTTTATGAGTTTAAAACGTAAAGAATCTTTATTCACAGAGAGTCTTAATTCTTCATACAAAGAATGGCATTACATTTGCTTTTTTTACTACTGTTACAGGCATTTTGAGTTTCCTATGTATTAATCAAGGAGCTTGTTTTGTACTATTCTTAATGCTACTATCAGCAGTTACTTGGTATTTCAGAGACTTAGCTATGACACAAAAGCCAAATTTTCTTTTCTTAGACACAATGTCATGCAGCACCATTCCATTCCATAAACCAAGAGTCTTTTATGTCTCAACATTCATAGTAGTATTGAAATAATACTTATACATTGTGAGAATTGAGGTAAACAACTCATTCTCACAAACATGAATCTCCACCTTTAATAAGGGCTTTGACATGACACTAAGATGTGATCATTGTTATGTATGTTAATTAAAATTAACATCTGTAACACTGTAACCAAAAGGCATAATTTTATAGAAGGGCATAAGAGAAAGGTAATAATTGTATCCTATGAGCAAAATGAAATATTCACTGGTTACACACACTACAAATTTTTCTTCCTGAAACTTTATACAGAAGTACCTGAACTTTGTATAGCTCTGAAAAAAAAAATCGAGCACTGAGCCCTTCACTCACAACACGCTGAAGGAGCTTTCCAAGGAAACAGATTCTATGAGAAGATCTATTGAGAAGTTCAATCTACAACAGGAGTTTGAAGGAAACAAAATATAGTGAAAACGGGTGCCAGTTCTGCCTGAAAAAATTGTACTTTCTGCTTTTGCAATATAAGCAATTCTTGTTTTAACTCAAAGAAATACATTAAATAAAAATATGCTTGTCTTTAGTGGTACTGCTTTTTTTATTCAACAGAGCACCAACTAACTGCAGGATGTGCTTATACTAAGAAATTTGTCAGAACTTTCTAAGTTACCTCTCTCTTGGTCAACTATGGCCTTTTCAGTACAGGAAAACGGGAATTTCAGTTATAGCTTCCCAATTCTGAGACACAGGCTGCACAAAACTTTTGACTACACTGGCGCTACTAGTACTCAAATTGCATCCACCATAAAACTGGAATTTTTTGATAAATGAGCGAGAATAACCTTCCAAAGGTTCTCAAGAGATATACCTGAAAATCTCTTGAGAGAGACTGCAATAAGGTGGAATGGAAATGTAATGAAGAGCTGAAGCAACCAGTTTAAAAAGCTGCAAGTTCATTTCTGAAACAGAACAGCAGTTTGATAGGACATAAGAGAGGGTTGATTTAGATTAGACGTAACGAGGAAAGTTTTTACAATGAGGGCGGTAAAACACTGAAACATATTGCCCAGAGAGATGGTGGCTGCCTCATCACTGGAAGCATTCAGGGTCAGACTGGACTGAGCTCTGAGAAATCTGATCTAGTTGAAGATGCTCCTCCTCATTGCATGGGGATGGGACTAGATGACCAAAGGTCCCTTCCAACCCAAATATTTCTAAGATCCTATGATTTCCACATGCATTCAGGGGAAACAGACCTCACTTAATGTTAAATTTTTACAAAAAAACGCCAAACCAAGCAAAAAAACCATTCTTGTCCAAAATACAGATTAATTTATTAATTTTTGATTCCTGCAATCATAATGGCTACTAATATAAACCAGTGGCAGCAGATAAGTGGACAACAAAGACATTGTTCTCTACTCACTCTGCCTCACAGATAAGAAGTAGAAAAGATTGTTACTTTTTTTAAACAGGCAGTGGGATATAGGTGACAAAGTGCTATAGCAAACAGGAGGGAGTAAAATATGCTAAAGATGGCTAGGGTGAAACAAAGATTTATAAACATGGTAAAATTAGAGATCTTTGACAAAAATGACAAATTAAAAGCAGTCTTTCAAAATTCTCTAGGCACAGTTCCCAAACGGTTCATAAATGCAAAATGTAAAACAGCAGGCTTTCTAAAAAGGCTACAATAGTAGCAAACTGTCCTGCCATTAAATCCTTATCTCCTGCTCCACAAACACCCAAAGAAGTATGCTGATCTTGCAGAGAGGTTTGAAGGTGAAAGCCAAATTCTCAGGAACAAAAAAGAAAAGCATCTCCTTAAGAGTAAGCACACCTCGTTCACAGGAAATTCACATCACTCCACTTCATAGCGAGATGCTGAAATAGAGCAGCCCACTGTGTTCCTTACTCAAAATGAGATACACTGCTTGACTGACAAATTAACAAAAAAACCCCATATAAATACAGCAAAACCTACCTCCGGCTTGGGAACAAAGGCTTGACCTGGAATTATGAAACAGTTTTCAACACTGCAGAGATGCTGAGCCATAATGGACAGTCTGCTACGTTGTTTACCTCCTGGATTAGCTGTAAGCCTCTACGGCAGAACCAAAACATGTATATCAGTGATACTGAACTGACCAAGTGATTAGTTACATTAAAGCTCGATTATCAGTATAATCAAATAAAAAACTCCACCGCTAGTTAATTGTTAAGAACTCACATCAAACTGTATGCCTGGTTGATCTAGAATTTTTTTTTCTCCAATACAGCAGCATTTCACGAAGATACCATGCTGATTCACAACATCAATCCTGCAATCAAATGCACATGAAAAGGAGCTTCTTGAACTTCTGCAAAACTAAATGAATGTCAAAATAATTTTGTATGGACAGAGGAGAAAACTAAAACTATTCTGACTGTAGGATCCAGAACAAACATAACACCATCTGACAGTACTCTCACATCCTTTCTTTCCATTGTTTCTGTATCAAATATTACTACTTTTTTTCTTCTTCAAGGTGAAGTAAAGCTCCATAAACTCAAGATCTGCTAGAAACCAAAACTACTTCATTTTTAGCCGGTCTACACTTACAATATTTGCAAGGAAGCTGCATCTACTTTACATAAATTTAGAATGTCTAATGGTGAGAGCATTGAATACATAAAACTCAATTTAGTAACTCTGATTTTCCCAAGAATTTTTTTACAAAGACTATTAAAATAGGGGCCTAGTCACAGATTTTCTACACTTTTGTGATCAGGCAAGAAATACATTTTATGTGTTTTGCTAGCACAAACAATATTTAAACATGAAAGACAAGTCTCAAATGATAAAAGACATTACACTAACTGTGCAGAAACAGAATTTTGAAGATTCCTGTTCTTCTTTACCACCACCTCAATAAAAAAATAAAAACGAAACCCCCAATTTGCATATCTGATAACATCTGTACATCATGTCGTTTCATATAAAAAGTCTACTCATGAAATGCTGCCATGCTTATTAAATCTATACCCGAAAAATAAAACTAAACCTATTGCTGAAGTTTCTCATTTTTTTAAACAACTCTTCTGAAAGGCAGTTCATCACAGAGCAAATAAATACTTCTCAAAGACTTCTTGGAAAGAAAGCTCAGTGATTCTTTTTCCATATGCCAGCATTTAAAACTACCCTCACTGCTGTTTCAGAGGATACGTTTTTTTTTAAGA